GATAATTTCTGAAAATCTAAAGGCACCCTAAGTATTTTATAGGGAATTTGCCTATTGGACAGCCAAAGATATCTACAAAGGCATCAAACTCATTTGCTTCTAAATTTATGGGGATCATCTCACTTTTGTTGTAATTGATCCTCATCTCTGATACTTGCTCAAACAGGTCAAGATCCATTTCAGGTTTGTGGCCATGGAGTGACCACTATCTACAAAGAGGATAGTGTCATTAGCATACCGCAAGTTGATGACACCTCCTGGACACAGGTCATGAGCAAGTCCTTTAATTAATAGCTTATCAGAGGCTTTCACAAACATCCTAGTCAATGCATCTACCACTTGAAAAGCAAAGGCGATAATGGGTTCCCTTGTCTCAATCCCTTGCCACTCAAGAAGAAATTGCTTTCCATGTTGTTGACTTTGACCCCAATAGACCCTTGATGAGTGATCATCTTGATCCACTAGACCCATTTAACATCACAACCCCTAGCTTCTAAGAGGACAAGTAAGAAATTTAAATATACTTTGTCAAAAGCCTTTTTATAATCATGTTTTGAAACCACACCTTTCCTTTGGACCTAACAATAGAATGTATTACTTCATGGGCAGTAACCACACTCTCCAAGATATATCTGCCTTTAATAAAGGCAAATTGATTCTTGGAGACTAGTCTATGCATGATCACTCCAAGTCTATTAGTGAGTACCTTAGTAATTTTTTTGAAAACACAATTCAATAAGCTAATTGGTTGGAATTTTTTCATGATAGAGGCCTCAGGTTCCTCAGGAATGAGGGTAATCATGGCAAAGTTCAAATGAAAATAGCTAACTTACCAAGGTGGATATCAACAAACATAGCCATAAGAACCTTCTCATTAAAACCAAAAAATTTTGATAAAAGAAAAAAAGGAAGTCCATCTGGACCAGGGGCTCCATCTAAGTAAGAATTGACGATGGAATTCTTGACTTTTTCAGAAAAAGTAGCAGAGAGCATCTCATTTTCTGAACAAGAAACTTTATATTGATCACTAAAGAAGTTATCAGCTAAGGTGAAGCCAGAGGGTTCTTCCTTGCTAAATATTTTTTTATAGAAGCTAGCAGCTATATCAAGCATTTCTTTGCTGTCAGAGGTTGGTCCAAATGGCCCCTGCAGGGTATGAATACTAGGTTTTCCTCCTCCTCTGATTTGCAACAACTCGAGAATAAGTAGCAGAGAGCATCTCATTTTCTGAACAAGAAACTTTATATTGATCACTAAAGAAGTTATCAGCTAAGGTGAAGCCATAGGGTTCTTCCTTGCTAAATATTTTTTTATAGAAGCTAGCAGCTATATCAAGCATTTCTTTGCTGTCAGAGGTTGGTCCAAATGGCCCCTGCAGGGTATGAATACTAGGTTTTCCTCCTCCTCTGATTTGCAACAACTTGAAAATATGTAGTGTTTTGTCCCACTCTTTAATATCCCTATCTCTAGACCTTTGTTTGGCTTTAGTCTCCTCTTTAAGCCAAATTTTGGTCATCTCTATTCTAATTTTCTTCAATCTTTGTGCCTCGACTGTGGTTAGTTCCTCAGTCTCAGCCTTGATATCTAGAGTGTCATATTCATCCATCGTATCTTTCTTAAGCTTCCTAAGTTCCGCTTCTATATTATTCCTCCACCCTTTAGTAATTCTCCTCAGGTTTCTTCCTTGCCCTGCCATATATCAATAGAGGAGGAGCCTCAAACAGGGATGTTCCATGCCTTCTCTGGGATGTGTGTTTGCCTGTTTGGGTCGCCTTATTGGCCTGGCTTGCGCTGCGTTTTTCGCAGGCCAATGAGTAGTTGATATGCTTGGGCCGACCCAACTCGCACGTCTCCGTTTCCTTCCCAAACCGTTTTTTCTTTCTCTTTTTTTCTTTTCCTTTTCCTTTTTCTTTGCCTTTTTCATCTATCATTTTCTGAACAATTTTCAAATTCATGATAATTTTTAATTACGAATTGATTTGGAAATCATGAATAGTTTTCCGATTTATGAAGTTTTTTTTGAAATCATGAACATTTTTAAAATTTGTGACCAGTAATTCACAGATTCACGAGCACTTTTTGATACTATGAAATTGTATTTGATAATCGTGAACATTTTTGAATCAATGAACATTTTCTGAAATTGTGAATGAAAATCGTGGAATTTTATTTGAATGGATTAACATTTTTTGAAATTTGGGAAACAAATTAGAAATTCATGATCTTATTTTTACTCTTGTGAGAAGTAATAAAATCATGATTTTTTTGAATTCATGAACATTTATTCAAATTAACGAACATTTTTCTAATACATGATTTTTTTCTGAACATTGTTTATGAAACTATGAATACTTTCTAGAATATGCGAACATTTTGTACAAATTCAAGAACATGTTTGAATTCACGAATTCTTTTTGGAAGTTGTGAAAATATTAAATATGTGAGTAGTTTTTTTAAAGTCATAAACATTTTGTGAATCCGTGATTTTTTATGATTTCTTGAGCATTTTTTCCAAATATCACAATTTGTTGGAATTTTGAAACCCTTTTGTAACTATGAATTATTTTAATGCAGATTAAAACAAAATAGAAATTAAAAACTAAAAAAACTAAAAAACAGGGGTGTCCAACCCCGCAAATGGGCCGGTCCAATTTGTTGGGACCGAACTCAACATGAGCACACCATACCATCCCAAGACAGAGGGTAGCCGGAGTGTGTGAACTAGTGCTTGGAGATTTATATGTGTTGCTTCATCCATGCCTGCCCAAAACATTGGAGCCAATTCCTTTCCCTCGCGAAGTTTTGGTATAATTCAAGGTACCACTCCTCTCTGAACATGTCATCGTTTCAACCTCTTTAGGGCCATGGACCGTGGTACTAGGGCATCAAAGCAACACCCCCTGTAGAATCCCAACACTGAAAGACTGGCTCGTGGAATGGAAAACAAGGAAACAAGTTCTCAAGCAACACTTGCACAGAGCGCGCCATATTATGAAGGTTCAAGCTGATAAGGTGTGCACAGATCGTTCATTCAAACCAGGTGATGCCGTGTACATCAAGTTGCAACCATATGTGCAAAGTTTGGTGGATCACTATGCCAACCACAAGTTGGCGTTCAAATACTTTGGGCCCTTTTCAACGTTTTGCGCGTCATCAACCCAATATCGTATGAACTGGCTCTGCCCGAGAACTCAAAGATTCACCCTGTCTTTCATGTCTCCAGAATGCGGCGGACTCTATCTCCAAGTACTCCTGCTACCACTGTACCCGTGCTATATCCAGCGCTGCTTTGGTTCCAATCGAGATCATCAACAACATATGTCATCAGACACCGTTCGATTGCCGCGAACAACTACTCGTTCGCTGGTCAGATTTTGCTACACTGGAAGCTACATGGGAAAACGCCATTGCACTGCAACATCGCTTTCACGACCTGCCGGTTTGGGGTCGAGCCACACCTCAAGGAGGAGGAGGGATGTCAGCGTCCCAACTGACGCTATGGTTACAACAAACAAAACTGCTTCCATGGCAGCAACTGAAAACACTGTCATGGCAGCGAAACAGACCACCAGCGAGGCACCTTTAGGAAACGTTGCCATGGCAGCGAAAAGTGCTGCCATGGTAGACAAACATAGTACGGGGACCAGTCAAAGAGAGAACCACATATCGGGACGCCAGCAAGGATTGCATAATCAAATTGCAGGTTTGTTGGTCCCGAGTGCGTGACGCATACTTAAGGAAGGAAGGACACTTGAGATTGGCATCCCCTGGATCAGGCACGTCACGGCGGCTTTTTTTTCATTTTGCTTTCCCCTTTCGCAAGTTGTATCTGAGAGAGAACTACCACTCTAATTGTTATAGACTTGAGAGAGAATTGGTACCTAACAGTTGAGGAGCCTCACTATTATTTCTCATAGAATTTCATGCATCCCAAATGTGCCACACGGTGACAGCCATGACTGTAGCCTCACTATTGCAGACACACGAGAGAAAATCGAATAACAACTGTCGGGACGAGTGGAAATTATATCTTCTCAAAAAACACATCGAAGGAGCTCTTGACTTCATCCCAGACGGTGTGAGCAAACGGACATGATAGCAAAAAAACAGGTTAAGAATCAGTATACACTAGGATCGTGCCGAGAAGCCAGCACTATTTTCAGGTCCTTAAGGGCAGACCCAGAAAGAAGATGACCTAGTGTCCCATATGTTAAAAATACATTTTTTTCCATCCAAACGTAGTGGGTCACACAATTAGAAGGGGAAAAGAATCCTCCACCCGGTCATGTGCAACCGAGTAGGTGAACCTGGGTACCCGCCGCAGTTGGCCTAATACGATATTGTCAGTAAAATTACTTGCGAATCTGTACAAGGGTGTAATCAATATCGTTTCAGTATTTTTCAAAAATAATAATTCGTTTCAGTAAATTCAAACATTACCGAAGTAGGCAACACGTGGCATGTTCGAGCGGTAGTCGAGACTCGAGACACACATGATGAACATTGTATAGCATTCAGTCCCCCAGTCTGTTCAGCATCATTATATAAACATAAATTTCAATCCTAGAAAATTACAGGAACGTCTCCTTCCTAGATAGAAAAGCGTAGGGGCATAACCTAGAGGTTGACCTTTCTAACCATCAAGCACGCAAACAATCAAATCAGCCGTTAAAACTTCCAATATCTCTGTATATAACCGAAAATCAATTAAGATTTCAACACAGGCATGTGTTCCTAGAGCATCTTAGGCAGAACAAAGCCACAAATTTCCCAGGTAAGATGAGCTTCGGCAGATGGCCAGCTCCCTCCCGGTTACAAATTTTGGCAGTAACTTTTCTGCATCCGACCCCATTGAATTCTCGGCAGGGCACTATTATTTGAATCCAATAACATCTTTTGCAGTTTTAAGGCTAACTTCATAAATTACCAGTATTACAGAGAAAATTTTAGACTAGAAATTGAGCAGACTTATGGAGGAGACAGTGCAATCTTCAGGCCCTTTATATCGCTCTCTGAAAAGGGTCAGCCACTGACAAATCATGGATGTGCTCTTCGAGACGACGCTGAGTATTAATATATTGCCTGAATTCAAATTTAGCATCTCGAGAAGCTCTGTTTTCCACGTGTAGCAGATTGTGTAGATAACCCATAGATGTACTGTTGTAGTCCACAAACCATCCTTCAAATTCAATTTTATTTAGCACTCTTGCATTTGAAATGAAGAAGCTGGCAAAGTTCACCTGCTTGTCATGACCTACGAATGCCTTAAACACCACATTTTTAAGATGGTCCGGGAGGCATTCAACTGGATGTAGTCCGTTGTAAGGAGGCTCATTATTCTTATCCACCTCTCTGTGTTCGTGAAACTGCAAAATAGAAAAAAGAGGCATATGTTAAAGCTGTTGCAAACTAGACTAGATAATACCAGTCATCTTCCGGTGCATCCACACGGGCTACACATGACGAATTGACAATTGTATTGTTTTTAAAGCCAACTAGTATGGTGGCCCTCGCAAATATGTTGTGCCCAAAATATCTATTCACCCCTTCTCCGCAAAATACACGCTGTTTTAGTCATCGATATATTCCTAAAGGTGCAAATTTAACCTTCATTTTCTATATGATTATGTTGGTCACCAATTAAGAAGGAATAATTAAACATTCCTAACAAAAAAATCTCGATATTGATTCCATTTTCTCACAAACTATTTATATATAGTTAGGTGCTGAGTTGAGATGACATTTATGAAACAAACACACAATCGGCACACCCTTTAGATCAATTGTCGTGTGCTCACTAGTGCAGATCCTCTACGCCACGAGTAATGCTACATCTACAGGAAATTACGGGGGAGAGTGGTTTACAGGGTGACGAGGCATTCTTTCATTGGTCAATTTGGGGGGCACCGGCCCACCCCTGAAAATCAGGGGGCGGAGGTATGATTAGAAGAGAAGAGAGGTCTGTAACTTCCTGTTGATTACCTGTAGGTGTAGGATTATTGCTACGCCACCCTATCATTTTGTGGATGGCTGTACCGAGCAATCTAGTCTATCTGTTTCCTATCTTCATTGCAAAATGTAGGCTTGCAATAAGATTCTTGTTTGCACACATAATTAGATCCATCTTTTAGAAATAAAACAGAAAATAAAAAATCAATTATCATGACACCCTCAAGCCTTTCGTTCTAGCATCTGGTGCTTCTTTCCGCACTCAGCCATTTTTAGGGTCATGGTGAGTTATGTACATTGCTGACACATCTTCTATAGAGCATAACATAGCATGAGAATTGTCTATGATATTAGTAATATTGGGCCAAATCATGTATCAATCCGTTGAACCATATAACATTTTTTTGTATGGTCTGGGCGAACATGTTTACATCAGCTATAATTTCCGTGTGTTGCGGCATGAACGAAAGATATGCGGTAAATTAATTATTGAGACATTATGTGTCGTGTACACATGATGTTCAATTAATACAAATTAAATTTCAGCTGTGTGAGAGTGAGCTTATTGTTTTGTTGTGATGTTGGGTCATTATTATCAGGCAGCGTCTAAATTGTGAGTCACCTGTAGCAATGACCAGATGATGTTTATACGACCTTTGGAATAGAATATCATAATATATTTGTCTGTGCTAGTTAAGTATATACTTTCTAATTTGTGCATGTCTTTTTTCCATTTATACTCTGTATTTCTATAATACATGAAATTCTTGTTTGTTCTGATTATGTGTTTTATCTTTTCCCCCTCTCATTTACTACGATCTTCCAGAAATACATGAAATTCCCCTCTGTTCTAAAATATGCAATTTCTTTCATATGGTTAGTCTCAAAGATGCAGTTTTCTCTATTGTTTTTCTACAACTGTTTTTTCAAAGAAGAATAGAAACAAAACTATGTTTTTCAAAACAATGTAATTATAATGTTTTATTTCAATATATTTATATAATATAATATAATATATACATGTCAATATTAAAAGGTAGGTAAGTTTAGCCGCAAGTTTTCTAGATTGACATTTATTTCTAAATGTGGTTGCATTGTTATTAAACATTCTCTTTAACTCATGTAACACATGACTACACTGGCAATGATGACCTATTTTGTCATATTAATGAACAGTTAATTTTAATACATGCCAGAAAATATATACCTTATATTTAATGGATTAGAAACGATAGAGAGTGACACAAAAGTTTGTCTGAGTACAGCAAGAAAGGAATGTGAACTCAAGGGCCATGGTATTTTTCCAATAGGTTGCACTCAAAGAAACTTTTGCTTCCAAACTGATTGTGATGTATAGAAAGTAACATATATTTATACACCTAGATAAAAAAAATTACTGGATAAATTTCTAATGATCATTCTTTTTACATTTTTTTGAATTTTATGAATAAAACTTGTAGATTTTTGTGGATTCTAAAGCAAATGTTACCGACCTCATATCAAATTATACCAGACTCCGCTCTTTCTGGCATTAACTTGCAGTTAGAGTTATAGAGGGGCGGGAGTTCATCCTCGTCATCTTATGACATCACATGTAGCATGTTTAAATCAGGGGAAACATGTATATTATTTGTAGTCCAGCTAATAATTAGGATCCGGCATAAAGAATTATTGGAACTCGGCAGCAAATGTTGTGGCTGCTGGAATACACTCTATGGAGCTAGTGGTTCTCACCACCTGTCCTTTCATGCTTTCCTTCTTTTGCGGTCCTATTGCCATGGAGCGTCATTTTGTAGCCTGCATTTGGTGATTTAGCCGCCAACACGTTTAGTGATCTTTGGGTTCTATAAGTTTTTGGGATGGGCATCTTGTACGTCTCTTCAGAAATTATGTGGTTAGTGCAATTTTTATAGGTTTGGTTTGCATTTATAAATGTTAGCTTCGAGTGACTTCAATGGGGCTTTTGGTTTTACGCAGCAATTTTGATTGTCACTTGAGTCATGTAACTTTATCTATAGCATATTTTTAATTTAATTTAACACCAAATCAAGAAGTCGAATACAAGGGAGTGGTCCTTAATTTCCACATCTGTACTTGAGATGGGCTCATCTAATGGTCGAAATAATTCTGATGATGTGGATTAAACGAGGTACTTAGGAGATTGTACTTTTAATATTTAATCAATTGATAATTTGATCTGGATATTCAGCATACAGTGAATCAGATTAAGAAGTACATATATGTTTCTTAAATTTTGAACTTTTTGTATCATTTTTCTGTCAGAACTAAATATCATTGAAGTAGTCCATCCATTCACACTGAGTTTGACATCTCCCACTTTCATTGATATAGGCATGCTGCATTTGATGGATTCTCACATGAAACATTATCATTGTATAACTAAACATCACATATTTGATCATTAGATCCACGACGAGCTATCCCAAGCGAGGACTGCATGCTAACGACGCATTTGGAGGAGGTCAAAGTAGGGAGCATCCGTTCAGCATGTGCAATCGGACGTCGCATTCGAGTCTACACATGGGCATGTGGCACTTTCTCGGTTACTATTTCCTCCATATTTTATGTTCTTAATTTAATTTGTACATGACGTACATTGTTAAATGTATATTCTTTATATATCTACATCTAGAGTCTGTACCACACAACCCATATAATATCTGAACCCAGTGGATTAATAACTTTGAATTTAATGGACGATTACACCGAGTTAGTAATTTTTTGCTTGTGGTTATTACTATTTATAATCCGAGGTGTAAATTTAAAACTAGCTAGTATGTTTTTAACAGCACCTTTATTTAGATTACCCGCCATTATTAATTGAAAAAATGAAGAAGAGATTGAGTTCGGTAGGTCATGCTTGTGTATGCACACGATCAATATATTTTTTCCCTAAACTCCTCTGGTATGCATTAGTAAATATAAGTGACGAATGCATACACACCCACACAATTCAGATCTAAAGGTTATTTTTAGATAAATTTTAAAGAATCAACATGGGGTGTGGCTCCAATTAGTAAACAGAAGATGTCAATCAAATCATACATTCAAAGCAAGCAAAGGCGGGAACTTACAATGATGTAGAGTTTTTCCAGACAGGGAAACCACCTGAGGACGTTAAGAATCGCATCCAATTCCTGTCCAGAACACCTGAGAGACAAAACCTTCACAGTGCGCATGGAGTTTGCCGAGCTGTCTGGGCTTATTCCCTGAAGAAAGCAAACAATGACCATGAAAAATAATTATCTCCATGCAGGAGTGCCAAATGCAAGGTCAAGGATGCTGCCGCTGCTACGTACCTGGGAGACAATCCTGGAGATGGCGAATAAAGGGCCCAATATCTTGAGTTTTGGCGCCCTAACTACCCGGATGGCCACACAATTATCAGCATCGTGATTATAAGTATAAGGTAAAATGAACCTCACAAGGAGAGGAGCATCCTCAATGATGAGTTCTGATTTCCCACAATATTTTTCGCTGAAGCCAATGCTCCTAAGAGTCGGCGAACTGACACGGAGGCAATCCGCAGCATGAACATTGGACATATAAAAGCTCTCCAAGGCGCAGCATGCAGAGAGCAAGCCGTGGAACACGTCCCCGGAGATGGAAACGTCAAGCAAGGAGATGTGCTTGAGGACTGGGAAGTCCATGGAGATCTCGTCGGGGATAGAACAATAGGCGATCTTGACAACCAGGAGGGCCGGGGAGGAGAGAGCGGATGGTGGCAGCGAGAATCTCTCCTCGGGTCCTGCAGGGAGGAGCTTAATGTCGAGCTCCTCCAGGTTGGCCAGGGCTGGGGACTGGAACCAGCTCTCCGCCTGGGGGCCTAGGTCGCTGCCGCGGAAGAAGAACCGGCGGGTTGGGCCAAGGTGTTTGGAGACTATCCTGGACATGGCGGAGGGAATGACGGAGGAGGGGGAGTGGGGGTTGACAGGGGAGTGAATCACCAGGTTGAGAGGCGCGGAGCGCCAGAGATTACGCCATCGGGGCGAGATGGCCGGCGTGCGTCCGCCGTCCTTGGTGGGAAGAAGAGATATGATGGTGGAGAGCAGGTCATCGGGAAGCCTGCTGATGAGATCGCCGGGGATCTCATCGCGCTCCCCGCCGCGTTCGGTCCCACGCGATTCCCGCTGGTCCATGGCCAGCGGCTGGAAAGAGCGAGACGGAAGATCTGGCCGAAATTATTCGCCAACAGGTCGCCACTCGCTGCCTCCTTCCGAAACGGGGGATTCGCGCGGCTGGGGAACGGGGTGAGGAGGTCGGGGAACGGAGAGCTATCTAGCCAGGGTGGGGTGGGGCAATCGGCCGGCGGCCGCAACGACGGGGAAATTCTAGGGTTTGAGAGAGTAGGCTGGGGAGCGGGGACTGGTTGATGGAGTCATGTACCTAGGGTAGGGTCACAGACCTGATCTAAGTACCCTGCCCAAGGACACCCTTAGAAGAGATCACCTTCCAGTCGATCTACGAGGGACTCACTCGACTGACTTGAAGGACTCGACCACGAAGACTCACTCGACCACCAGAAGGTCAAGAGGCACTCTGCACTGCAACGGTCTGTAATTAAGTAGACTTTATGATAGTAAAGACATTTTATGTGGGGCGTTACCAGTAACGCCCCGGTCTTAATGTACCTTAAACCCTTCATTACGTGGGTTGGCTGGGGTCGTGGCGCACTCTATATAAGCCACCCCCCTCCACAGGCAGAAGGGTTCGGCACCTTGTAATCCATATACACATAATCCACTCGACCGCCTCCGGGCTCCGAGACGTAGGGCTTTTACTTCCTCTGAGAAGGGCCTGAACTCATACATCTCTTGTGTTTACAACCTCTCCATAGCTAGGACCTTGCCTCTCCATACCTACCCCCACTCTACTGTCAGACTTAGATCCACGACAGTTGGCGCCCACAGTGGGGCGGGTGTTTTAGCGATTTTGTGGAGAAGTTGCGATTCTTCCGAGTACTTTCATCATGGTAGCTGCTGGGGTTTTGGTCGAGGGTCGAGAGATTCGTCTCGGTGCTCTCACCTTCGTCGCCGACGACTCCGCCTGGCTCCAGGAGGCTCCACTCGACGTCGATGCGCTCCCCGTCCGCGGTGCGACGCATTTTCGCGCATGTGTCCGCGGCGTTCTGCTGCGGCAACCGTCGACCCCATATCGGTCGACTCCCCTATCGACCACCCTCCCGGTCTCCCGCCAGCGCAAGCGCTCGGGTCGGTCGAGGCTTCAGCGGTGGGTGAGACACGCGGTGGCTCGCCAGACGGCCATCACCCAAGTTGCGGCAATCGAGCCCGACAAATCTCTCTACGGCCTGTTCGATCTGTCGACTGGCTCCGTAGAGACTGCATCCGAATGCGATAGCAGTGATCCAGCGGCGGAAATCCTGATGGTCGACGGGCCTCGCAGCCCCCCTGGCTTCGCCCGCGATGGTGGGGCAGGCGACGGAGGCGACCCCGCACGAGACCACGAAGAGTACCAGTCCGAGCCACTCGACTCTCTGCAAAGAGAGGAACTTTGCCGCAGGAACATGGATGCCCTGCATACTCCCATAGCAGGAGAAACCCCCGAGGCTCGCGCCTTGGAGGAGGCACGTTTGACCAATTTGGCCGAACGCGCTCGCCTGGAGAATCTTCAGCGAGCACTCGACGAGCGCGCGCGGCAATGAGTTCCCGACGCCAATCGACGTCAACTCTTCCCGCCGACTCAGGTATATCGAACCCCAATCCAGAATTTAGCAGCTGCGACCCGTATAGCAGAGTCCATCCAGCCCTCTCAGTCGGAAGCTGGCAGAGGCTTGATGCAGATCAGGGATCTGCTCCGGGCAGCAGGAGATCAGAATTCAGCCGTGTTGCAGTCGCGCAACAGAATTCACAGTCGATCCGTCGCTGCGAATACGGTTCAGTCGGCTCACAGTCCCAGATCGCCTCTGCGGCGTGAAGGGCGCGAGAATCGGCGAGACCAATATGGAGACCGACACGACCGAGATGATAGGCGTCGAGTGCCCACTTCCCCTCTGAGGGGTGGGTCTTACGCTCCTCGGCAGCAAGATGACAGACGTCAGCTTAGTGCGGGGCGTAGAGTTCCAGTCGACCCCAGAGAACCAGGCTTCGACGCGCGATCCATTATCGTGCAAGGCTTGGTCGACCGGAACAGAGCCCATCGAGGTGGACTCGACAGAGATGCGCCCACGAGCAGTTGAGTGCACGTTTCTGGTCCGGAATGTTTCAGCAGAGCTATCAGAGCCGCAGTGATTCCTCCCAATTTCAGGTTGGCAACAGGAGTCAGCAAGTTCACCGGTGAGTCTAAGCCTGAAACATGGCTTGAGGACTACCGAGTGGCAGTTCAGATTGGTGGTGGGAATGACGAGGTGGCCATGAAGCATTTGCCCCTCATGTTGGAAGGTTCTGCCAGAGCGTGGTTGAATCAGTTACCTCCTAGCAGTATTTACACTTGGGAAGATCTGTCCCGAGTGTTTGTCAGAACGTTTGAAGGAACTTGCAAGCGACCGGCTGGATTGACGGAGCTGCAAGTCTGCGTGCAGAAGACCAATGAGACTCTCAGGGAGTATATTCAGAGATGGATCACTTTGCACCATACTGTGGAGAATGTGTCTGATCATCAGGCAGTCTGCGCCTTCAAGGATGGTGTCAAGAACAGAGAATTGAGTTTGAAATTTGGTCAAACCGGAGACATGACCTTGAGTCGGATGATGGAAATTGCTACCAAGTATGCCAACGGCGAAGAAGAAGACCGACTCCGAAGCGGCAAGCACAAGCCGAGCCAGTCGGAGAAGGGAAACACCAGTCGGAAACAGAAGCGGAAGGCTGAACCGGCAGCTCCTGGAGAGGCTCTGGCCGTGGCTCATGGAAAGTTTAAAGGGAAACCAAAAGGATCCTGGAACCCTAAGAAGGTAAAGGATAAAGAAGGGAACGACGTGATGGATATGCCGTGTCATATCCACACGAAGAAAGACGAAGAGGGGAATATCATTTACCCAAAGCATACCACTCGCCAATGTCGACTCCTGATCCAGCAGTTTCAAGGAAAACAGTCTAAGGACAAGGAAAAGGAGTCGGACAAGGCCGAAGACAAGGAGGACAATGAGGAAGGATATCCGCATGTCAACTCCACTCTGATGATCTTTGAAGATGTGGAAAGCAAGAGTCGATTGAAAGTCATTAACCGCGAGGTGAACATGGTTACCCTAGCAAAAGCAAATTATCTGAGATGGTCCCAAACACCCATCACATTCGACCAATCTGATCACCCAACTCATATTGCCACCCCTGGGAGGCAAGCTTTGGTGGTCGATCCAGTTGTCGAAGGCACTCGACTGACAAAAGTGCTGATGGACGGTGGTAGTGGGCTGAATTTGTTGTATGCAGACACACTGAAAGGAATGGGCATTCCGATGTCCCGACTGAGCACCAGTAACATGAGCTTTCATGGAGTTATACCAGGGAAGAAAGCCGAGTCACTCGGCCAAATAGCTCTGGACGTGGTGTTTGGTGATTCGAAACATTTTCGCAAAGAGAAGTTGACATTTGAGGTCGTGGATTTTCAGAGTGCATATCATGCAATTTTGGGGAGACTAGCTTATGCACGGTTCATGGCTCGACCATGTTACGTGTACCTCAAATTGAAGATGCCCGGCCCCAAAGTAGTGATCACTGTCACCGGTGATCGGAAAAAGGCAGAAGAGTGCTTTCAGAAGGGCTCAAAGATTGCTGATTCCCAGGTGACAGCAGTCGAGTTTGAAGAATACAAGCAAAACGCAGATCCGAGTGATTTGCTGCGATCCAAGAAACCCGCCACAGAATCTGCATTTCAGTCGTCCGGTGAGACGAAGCCTGTTCACATTCACCCGACCGACCCCGATGCAGCCCCGACCCACATCTCCACAACACTCGACCCGAAATAGGAAGAAGCGCTCATCCAGTTCCTCCGTGAGAACTGGGACATTTTTGCATGGAAGCCCGCTGACATGCCAGGTGTTCCCAGGGGACTGGCTGAGCATCGCCTAAGAGTTGACTCATCAAAAAAACCAGTCAAAGAGCATCTTCGGCAGTCCGTCGTCCAGAAGAGAAAAGCCATTGGTGAGGAAGTGGCTCGACTGTTGGCGGCAGGATTTATCCGAGAGATATACCACTCCGAGTGGCTCGCTAATGTCGTCATGGTTCCTAAGAAGGACATATTGCTCCGAATGTGCATTGATTTCAAGCACATCAACCGGGCCTGCCCGAAAGATCATTTTCCTCTCCCTCGCATAGATCAAATTGTTGACTCGACCGCGGGATGTGAGAGATTGTCTTTTCTAGACGCCTACTCCGGGTACCACCAGATCCGTCTGTACGGACCCGACGAGGTAAAAACAGCTTTCATCACTCCATTCGGGTGCTTCTGCTATATCACCATGCCATTCGGCCTCAAGAATGCCGGAGCCACATTTATGCGAATGATTCAGAAGTGTCTACTCACTCAAATCAGTCGGAATGTGGAAGCGTATATGGATGATATCGTTGTCAAGTCACGAAAAGGTTCCGACCTGCTCGCTGACCTCGCCGAAACATTTGACAACCTTAGAAGGTATGATATCAAGCTCAATCCATCAAAGTGCACATTCGGAGTTCCTGGTGGCAAGTTACTCGGTTTTCTCGTTTCCGAGCGAGGGATCAACGCTAATCCAGAAAAGATTGGCACTATTCTCCGAATGAAACGCCCTGTGCGAGTGCACGATGTCCAGAAGCTTACTGGATGCTTGGCCGCATTAAGTCGATTCATCTCACGACTCGGTGAAAAGGCATTGCCTCTTTACCGACTGATGAAGAAGGCAGACAAGTTCGAGTGGACTCCAGAAGCTGATGCAGCGTTTGCTGAGCTAAAAGCTCTGCTCTCCACCCAGCCGGTGCTTGCTGCTCCAATCAGCAAAGAGCCTCTGTTGCTTTATATCGCAGCCACAGGACAAGTCGTCAGTACTGTGCTTACGGTCGAGCGGGAAGAAGAAGGAAAAGCTTTCAAAGTTCAGCGCCCAGTGTATTATTTGTCTGAAGTCTTGACTCCATCCAAGCAGAGATATCCTCATTATCAGAAGCTTGTGTATGGAATATACATGACCACAAAGAAGGTTGCTCATTATTTCTCT